CAGATGTTTGTGTAAATGAAATTAATAGCGAAGAAACTGATTTAACTATTCTGGATTTTATCTCATCTGTCTTCACACCTTTTTCTAGTTAGTATTTACTTCTGGTGGTCACACACGTGTCAGAGATTCCGCTAGCCAGAGAGGTAAAGCGATTTCTCTAGGAGATACGTTAATTAAGTGATTGTGTATTTGGGGTATTGTATGTTCAAGTACAGAAGCTGACATATTTTGACCATATCATGCGCCACGGTGGATCAGAAAACTATTAGCATAGTACCAGGAAGAAGAGGCAGGGGCCCACCAACACGTTGATGGGCACAGAGAATAAGTGACTCATTAAATATAAAAGTGTACGGGGCGGGAGAGCTTGCAAGAGAACGAGTTTCTTTCGGGCTGATGAGAGCGACGTTCTACCAAGAACCTGCTCCACGATGATGATATTCAAGTAATGTGTTGATGAAGGCTGTCTCGCCGCAACGTTTTCTTGTCGTTTGTGATAACGTACAGCCGACTGGATCTACTTTTCGTCTGGTTTGATATCTTTTCACCTGGCTCGGTTTTTAGTGGAGTTAAATGAAATGCTGTATTCTTACCTGGTCGATCGTCTAATTAACAACGTCCCAGGTTTTAACGATTACAATCCATGGACAACTAGAAACTCTATAATCATTAACAACGTCACTAATCATTTTGACTAACCCTAACACGTTCGACACCAGGCGACTCACTCTCCGTTTCTTAACTTCTAATGGCATGGTGGACTTTTCTTAACTCCATGAGTTCCGTTCTGTTGTTACAGTAACCCACTTTATCCCATTTGTTACTGTCCCTATTAGTGTCGCGGTGTTGTTATTTTAACTTCTCAAGTGCTAAATAAGATTCAAGCATTAGAAATGCGATTTTCAGAAAAATTCCTGGCATATCATATAAAGACCACATTACAAACGAAGAGGTTCGCCATAAATTGAACAGCACATTGGCAACTATAAACCTCTTCTAACTACAGTAAAAAGGCGAAAAAAGGCAATGTTATAGACATGTAATAAGATCTAACGGCCTCTCAGAAACAGGGCACAGTAGAGGGAAAGAGGAGAAGAGGCAGACAAAGAAAGACGGTTACAGAACCTGACTGACTGGACAGGCCTTAAGCATGCAACCATGAAGTCCATAGCAACTGAACAACTATTTGCTCACTCAGTACCGGTGCGTTCTAGTGCACATCCGCAGTGCTTAACACTCTTCTCTTCCTTAACAACAATATCAACAATTTAAAATGATATCCAACTTCTAATCAGCCTCTTCAGTTGTCACGTAGCCAGCAAAACACCCTCATGCTAGTAGTTCCGTCGATAACACCTTAATGCAAATTATCTGTATTAACAAATGGACTATTCCATCAGAGGTAAATAGTCCTTCTTTAAAAAGCAGGCGTCGGGATATATGTAAAGGGACCTTGTTCAATCCAGAATCGATGGGGAGTTATATTATGAATTCACTCACAGATAAGTGATTTCCATGAGTAGTGAAGACATTTTTTATAGCCGAACTACCGCTTTATTTGGCAGAGGGAATATTTGCCGCTTCTTGTTCGGGAGAGTTTGAAATATTGGCGTCATTATCGACGTAGCCCCCGAAGCCAACAGACTGCCTAGCGTCCTTTCTGTCAACTTACACACACACACACACACATATATATATATATATATATATATATATGTGTGTGTGTGCGTGTGTGTGTGTGTGTGTGTGTGTATCTGGTCTTAAAGTCTCCAGTTTTACCAGGGAATTTCAAGAGAGTATGGGTAAGTTGTATTTTAATTAACTTAGTTGAAGTTATTTTTCCTTGCTGTATCAGTTAGACGGGTGCAGCTTTGGGACACTGGCTGTTCGTCGTCGTCACTGGGCTTAAACTACAGACACAAGTTGGAGAGGTTCACCTTTTTTTTCAGATGAAAGATGCCCCCTTATATTTATTCATAGACCGTTACTACACATTTAGATTAATGTTTCCTTTTTAAAATGTCTTTATTCATGCAAAGTTGACGTGGAGAGAGAAATGTGGGGTATATTCAGGTCGTTGGTTTGACCTAAAAAGCCGCTTGCTTGTTTCGCGGCTAATTCCGTCGGTCGGTTTTTGGCAACGACTCGGATGGGATGTGTTTCGGCTTGTCGATCGGAGAGTGTCCACTTAGGTTTCGTTGTAGGGGAAAGTTGTTCTGTATTGTATGTTACGTTCTCCTGCTTGAATATTCTATGACCCATTTAATGCCTGTATTAGTAAAGCATTCTTGAATGGGAGGAAACGGCTGATCTTATTCTTATGATTAGCAAACACTGTTTCAACTGGAAAAATATGGGGCCAAGCTATTCATGCTTGCTTGTGTACATTTGGGGTTCATTCTTCTCTGTGACAGCCATTCACTGTTATCTGAGCTTGAAACTGAAGATGTAAAGTGTGGAATACTGATAGATTTCTCTGTACTCTATTCTCAGGATGTGTGAGCTATGATACAATGACAATACGGACTTAACTGGAGCCTACGTCAGGATCAAAGTGAAAGAGATCCACTAGGGTACTGCTATCAATCACCCATTCGACCTGTACTTGGTACTACTCATCAGGTCCCCCACTTTATAATATTCCATTGATCAACTATGTGAGAAGGTCACAATATGGGTCATACTCATTAAAATACAGCTGAAGACACCACATCATCATCAAGTGGGTCAAGCCGAAGGTTTAGCCACTGCAGACAGCACCAGCCAACTTTTGTACGCTGTGTACTGATTGATTTGATTTGATTTGATTCAAGAACCGACATCACAGCACTCGGGGCATTCCCATAAGCGCTTCGTCCCCATCTTCATCAGCCAGCGAAGAGTTCTGATACTAATGGTGCCAGTATCATTCTGATTAAACGTCCATCTTGCCTTTCCTCTGAGCCTCAAGCATCTTCCAGAACCTCTCGTCACTCCCAACTGCATCAGTCTCACCACACTGTGGGGAACAATCTGCTCCACCGAACTGTACACGCTCTCCCACAAGGCACTAACCACGTCTGCCTTATCATGCATCAGTATTCCACCAAGCTGTGCAGAGACAGCTGTGTACTGAACTCAGTGGTAATGAACTTTATATCTATATAGATTACAGGGAGTTGATCCCTATTCTGCTATTTAATACATCGACACTTCAATGGTAGACATAGATTGTATGTGATAGTGTACCACTTGGAATTCTTTAGCAGAAATCGACTTGGACTGAGGAGAGGAACTGACTAACCATTCTTTACAACTGATGATAAGTACATTAGACCAGAAATTACAGCCAACCGGTCAATTCATGCCACAAACTTACTAATTACCTTATTACATCATCAGTGCATTTATCTGAGGCGATCAGTGAATTAATCTCAGGCCTGTAGTCATTCCTGACTGAGACATTATTTTTGTCGGTTTATTGGAGTTTCTTATATTTTTTTTTTAAATTTATTGCAACGTGCAATTTTTGTAACTACTTTTGTTAGTGTCTGGCATTTCACAGTTCACTTTAATTAAGTCTCTGTGTGTATTGCCACACTGTCAGATTTATGTTAATACTGTGTTTTTATTTTGACTTTGACCTTGATCCTATCCAGTCTGTTGGCTATTAATTGATGAGGAAGTCTGACCAAAGTGTTCCCAGGAATATCTGTGGAAATTCGGTGGTGCCAGATACTTGAGCTGCCTCCCCCCTGAAGTACTGTTGGAGGATGATTAGACCTGGGGAGTACCGCAGACCAATACGAGCTGCCATCACAACGGTATATCACTTTAAAGTGTTTTATATTACTAAGGGAGACCCTAAAAGACACGTGACAAAATCCTCTTGTGACACCAGTATGAGTCATCTCTAGCACTACAGTATTTCCAGTTGACAGTTCTAGCATTCTTCAAAACCTAGACGCACTGTTTTTAACCTAACGCTCCTGGGTCTGCCCTTCTATTTCTGTGCGGTCTTCTCTCTCCATTTCATCCTCTTTTCCTCCTCATCCGTTCTTTGTTAGCCGCTAACGAGAAAATCAATCCTAAAGCGTACACTCCCTATATCCGGCGATAACTCATCTACAACATTAGATATCCATAACCCTCGACCCCAAGAGGACGATGGTGATGATGATGATGATGATAAAGACGGCGATGATAAGGATAATAGTGGTGAAGGCTAAAATCAGACCTGCTAAAAATTCCAAGCGATGGAAAAATCTTCAGTACTTCGCGCAGATATGGAACAGTGTGCTTTCTTTGGAGGGGCCCTGTGGAGGCGACATACTCGGCGTCACGATCGGGATCTAACTGTCGAAGTTCAAACCCTTCGGGAACTGGTCTGTGAGGACGATTTAATAAAACCATAATTAAACATAAGTAGCTTAGGCTGACTGCTGAAATACTTGTATTAAATATAAGAAGCCTAGGCTGACTGCTGAAATACTTGTAATAAATACAAGAAGCCAAGGCTGACTGCTGAAATACTTGTAATAAATACAAGAAGCCTAGGCTGACTGCTGAAATACTTGTATTAAATATAAGTAGCTAAGGCTGACTGCTGAAATACTTGTATTAAATATAAGAAGCCTAGGCTGACTGCTGAAATACTTGTATTAAATATAAGAAGCCTAGGCTGACTGCTGAAATACTTGTAATAAATACAAGAAGAAGAAGAAAGAGAGCATGCACAGCAGGGGTCCACCGGTCATTGGTAAATATTCTTCGTCGACAATTGTTGCGGCCTATTGCTTCCCCAAACAATCTCGGAAGGTGGGCCGACCTGGGTCATGTAGCCAGGCCCCGATCTTCCCCTGCTGCACTTGATCGGACTCGATAGGGACAAGAAAATATGGTGAGTTTGCAACAGGTGCTATGCTATTTGGTGTTATATTGTCGCTGCGGTGGAAAATTAAATCAGTTGACTACCTTTACGACCAGAGAGACAGGCTAATGCTTAGTTCATCGGAGGAACCGGCAGACATTTATCGGACACTTTGGCTTTTGGGGGATAAGGAATTCTTTTCAATTAGGAACTCGGACCAATCTGCCGAGGCCCATCCCCCGCGATGTTCCGCTGCGTCCAGAGCCACCTTGAAGCTCTTTTAGCAGCTTCGCCCAGTTGTTTTAGTGACCGTTTACGCTAATTTCCTCGCAAGCCCCGCTGCTTTAGCACATTTTACATGGAAGTGGAGATAAGACCTCTTGCGCTACCTCGACGGCGAAGATTTTTACGGTGTACGCTACGTCTCTCCTCTGACCGGCCACGAGCTCCCCGTACTTCTCGAGCTTGTAACAGGTGATTTTCGTCCATTCGTGACTCATACAGCACGGTCAGCTCAATCAAGATGAGTTGGCCTTTTCCCGCAGAGTGCAGAACTATGCCAAGTCTCAAGCTGGTATTCCGGATTGACTATGGGTACCTCTTGAAATCAGGCAGGTCGGCAGCCAGTAACCAGTCCCTCGGACAATCAAATATTGATGGAGCGTATGCGACTTTGCTGATTTTACCTTTACAAATTTGTCCAGCCTTGAGGAAGCGCATGAGGATGACGGTAGGACTGATCCTCGCGTTGGCACTCATCCTGGCTTAGTCCACAACGCCCGATAACTCTTTCAGGACTTTATTGTTGCGCCAAATATATCTTCCCTGGCTTAGGGCTTTTCTGCACTAGGATAATACGTGCTCGAGCGTTTGCTTAGCTCTGCAAAGTGGGCATGTCGGGTCGGCAGTCCTGTGCAATTTCACCATGTTGACGCCAGACGGTAACATATCGTACGCAGATCTTACGACAAAGCTCAGCCGCAGCGGGACCATTCGTCAGATCTCACCCCGTGTGAGTATTCGTGGCAAGGCGCTCTCGAGGTCCGATCCACTGGCCTTGGCCTTGCTGCGCGGCTTTTTGGACGCGAGTCACGTTTTCAGCGTTCTTTATCTGCTGTATTACTTGGGGTAGGAGCCTGTCCTACTACTAGGCGCGTCCACCAGGTGGCGGATGGTGGAAAGGCTTCTAGATGTAGAGGTTAGCCACGAATATATTGAATAAGTGGCCGTGGACCAAAACAGGTGGTGGTCGTTGAGAGGAGGCGAGTTAGTTGGTGGGACAGCTAACTCTATAAAATATCTCAAAACTCTACGACATGGCCAACGGCGGGTAAGAGGCGTCATAACCCCCCCCCCCCCCCCCCCCTGCTGCCTTGCAGGGTAAGTCTCTTTAGACAAAGGCTATTGGAGTCAAACCATACACAAACCAGCGGAAGGCAAGATGAAACCACCGCTGTACTATCCCTAGTTAATCATGCCTCAAATAATACGTATTCAGATAACAACGTGAATGGGGATTCCGGTGGAATCACCTCGTCCGGTAGGGAGCATCATGTTCTACGGGTGATACCCGACCGTCATCCAGCTACTGTAGAAGAAGTAAATGGTAAAAACATCATGAACATGGAATGTCAGAACACTCGTACAAAACGGAAAGCTGGATAACATCAAGATGGAAATGAAGAGAATGAACATCAACATATTAGGAATTAGTGAAATGCGATGGCCAGGAGCAGGGGAAAAGTATTCAGATCAGCACAGAATTATTTACTCGGGTGGGAAGGAATAAAGTAAGGGAGTTGGTATTATTATGGATCCAAAGAACTCAAAAACTGTGAAAGGATTTTGGACAATATCAGATAGAGTACTATTAGTAAAACTTCGCGGCAGACCGTTTGATATCAACTTAGTACAGAATTATGCCCCAACAGCAGATAGTTCAGAGGAAGATATTGACGCATTTTATGACGAGTTAGACATGGCTGTTGATCAATGCAAAAATTGTGAAGTAACAATGGTACTTGGAGATTTCAACGCGAAAGTAGGAAGTGAAAAAGTGTACGGAATAACGGGTGGCTATGGCCTAGGAGAAAAGAATGTGAGAGGTGACAGATTAATAGCATTGGCTGAGTCACGCAGCATGATAATAGGTAACACCTGGTTTAAACACCATCCTCGAAGATTGTAGACTTGGAAAAGTCCTGGTGATAATGTACGCAATCAAACTGACTATATTTTGATTTCAAGAAGATTCCAAAGCAGCTTAGTTGGTGCAAAAACTAGACCAGGAGCAGACTGCTTTAGTGACCATGTTCCAGTTGTAGGAAAAATTATAAAAAAAACTAAAGAACATTAGAAAAACACCACATAACATCAAGTTAAATTTAGGAATTCTTAGAACGAATAAAAAAATTAAGGAACAGTACGATGTCACTGTACAAAACCGGTATAATGCAATGGAAATTATACAGACTATTGATGAACAGTGGGATATGTTGCGCGAGTCAATTCAGCAGACATCAAAAGAGACAATCCCACCAACCCATAGAGCTGTAAAAAAGAAATGGATGTCAACCGAAATTCTGCAGTTGATGGATGAAAGAAGGAAGAAAAAGAATGATAAAGAAGAATACTCAAGAATACAAAAAGAAATAGTAAAGAAGCCTGGATGAATCAAATGTGTACAGAGATTGGGGAAAATCACAGGAAAGACTCACATTCCATGTACCAACAGATAAATATGTTAACAGGAAAGATGAAACGTAACAACATTGGATGTTTGAAATCAAAAGATGGTGACATATTAATGGGACATAGTAATATAATTAACAGATGGACAGAGTATATAGAGGAATTGTATAATGATAATAGACCAGACGTAGAACTGCAGACCAACAATGATGGTCCACCAATAATGACGGCAGAAGTAGAGGATGCAATACATCATATGAAGAAAGGAAAAGCACCAGGGTTAGACAACATCTCACTGGAAGAAATCGAAGCACTGGGAAATTTGGGAATTGAAATAATAACTAAACTTTTAAATAATATTTATAATAGTGGGTATACTCCAAATGACCTTTTCAAATCCATATTCATAGCTCTGCCAAAGAAACCAGGCACTTTAAAATGTGAAGACCATCGCATAATAAGTCTTATAAGTCACATGACTAAGATTTTACTGAGAATAATTATGAAAAGAATAAGAAACAAAATGAAACCAGAAATCAGCGATGAAAGATGTGGATTTGTAGAAGGAAAAGATACAAACAATGCCATATACATCCTAAGGACATTGTCAGAAAGAGCTATAGAAGTAAAGACTGATTTGTACTTTTGCTTCATAGACTATACAAAAGCATTTGACTGTGTGAAGCATGAAGAAGTGATCAAACTGTTAGAAAAATTAAACATTTATGGGAAAGATCTACGAATAATAAAGAATATATATTGGCAGCAAACAGCAGCTATAGGAATAAACAACTGTTCAGGTACATTTCAAAGCATAAAGAGAGGCGTACGACAAGGATGTGTACTTTCACCTGATTTGTTTTCAGTATACTGTGAATATATAATGAGAACTTTAATTGATATGCCCGGAGTTGTGGTTGGTGGGCACAATATGAACAATTTACGTTATGCTGATAACACAGTCTTGATAGCAACAAGTCAGAAAGAATTACAGGAAATGATAGACATTGTGGTGTTAGAAAGTGGAAGAATGGGCCTCAGTTTGAATAATGGGAAGACAGAAGTAATGGTGGTATCAAAGAAACAAATTATTCCTACATGTGTAAAAAAAGTCAATGGTGTTATTTTAGGACAAGTACAGAAATTTAAGTATTTGGGCACATGGATAACATCAGATGGAAGATGCATAACTGAAATAAGAAACAGAACTGGACAGGCAAAAACTGCATTTTATAAAATGAAAAACATCTTGTGCAATATATCCTTGTCATTGAAGGTTAGAAAAAGAATTCTTTCTTGCTACATACATCCAGTTTTAACACATGGCTGTGAATCCTGGAAAATCGGTAGGCAGGCCAAATAATTTTTAGAGGCCTCAGAGATGTGGTTTTACAGAAGAATGCTTAGAATACCTTGGACGGCCAAAAAGAGCAACCAAGAGGTTTTGAAAGAGGCGGGAGCCCGAGGACAACTTATCACAGACATCAGAAGGAGACAGTCATCATTTTTCGGCCATTTTATGAGAAGAGGGAAAATAGAACATGTTGTGACCACTGGAAAGATCTGTGGAAGGAGGGATAGAGGAAGACAACGAGAGAAGATGCTTGACAGTCTTGTTGCATGGCATGGAGGTGTGTCGGCACACGAACTGATACATGCTGCAGGAGATCGCAGATTATGGAGAGGCATGATCGCTCACGCCAGTCGGCAAGGCACATGATGTATGGATTACCATGTCTCTGCGCTCTTTAGTCGTGGTTTTGAACCATCAACTGACTTTCCCGGGCCCTAGGCCACGTCGGTCGGTTTGTGTGTACCTCATGACTTCTTCCAATTTCAGTACATCTTGGACTATATTACTGACACTTGGAAAAATAATTACACTGTTACACATCCTAGTAAAATACAGAAATAAAATCAACATCATCGTCAATCTTTAGTACCGTTAAACATTATTTATAGCACGCATTTCCCCTTCCAGTCAAGTACTGTCCTATGCAATCCTTTTGATGTCATGGAGAGCATTGATGACATCGCTTCTGTCCCGTTCCAAACCATTCATAACAACCATAGCACCTGCCAAACACCCGCATTACGCAGCTTAAAGTTAAAGTTTAAGCAAGATTGTTTTCTCAGCAAACAATTTGCTATGCCAGGAAGCCGGAGAGAGACGAACATAACATAGTTCTGTCCTATGCAAAGAGCTGCCCACCTTGGTTGAATATCTCCGGGATACGCAGCCATCAGTTCAGTCAGAATTAACTGATTGTATTTAGTCCCTGTAGAATTACTGACTTTCTCTGCGATCTTCACCATGTCGTAGTCTGTTGCTGTGAATAAACAAGCCTGTTCATTATTCATCCCGTCATTGGAATGTAAATAAGTAAAGACACCCTTTCTACGCTTTCTTGCGTATGGGGTATATAGGGTTAGCCCTATATTTTATGGCACATTCGGCATTCTGTAGGTGATGTGGTGAACATTACACCGACCGCCTTTACTTCCCATGACTGTGCCTGGTACCCATTTGAAGCTGGGTTGACCTGAAAATTAAGGTCATTTTTTAAAACGTTCGGCCCCGTCACGACCCGAACCCACGACCTTTCGATCCTCAGGCGGCAGTGTAATGATGACCATTTTACCCACCGAGTGCCAGTTGGTCTATAAAATATAGGTCTAGCCCTATATACCCACTACGTCTGAAGGCCTTGTAAAAGAGTCCCTTTCTTAATTGATTAAATAGTAAAGATAATAATAATGTTCAGGAGGATAATTAAATTTAAATTTATGTTTGAAAGCCAAATATAAGCAAAAAATTACAATAGGACCTTCTATACATAAGAAGGTTGGGAGGGCAGCTTAGCGTTGTTACAAATTTATGCTGGGGCTGCTGAGGTCCCCCGCCCCCTTACCCTTCTCCCCCCCCTAAAAATATTACATGAAAGGTCTTTAATGTGCCTAATCTCTCAGATTCCTGTACTGCCGAATAGGTCAAGTTTCTACACTAGAGGTGTACAGTTCTAAGCCCCCGACCCTCTCCCACCCCCTCCCCCTTTTTTTTCTAACAGTCCATTCCAAAAGTCGTGTCCAGCTTGAAAAATCTGAAACTCAACCCTTCCGTGTAAGTTGTTAAAATTTGGCACGTAGATTATTTATAATCGTGACCTTTTCTTTGCGGTATAGATTAAAATTAGACACCGATTCAGAGCAAACAGTCAGTGTATTTGCAGTTAACTCAGTAACGGAAACTTCTTAAAAAATATTAAATTGCACACCTTTCGTTGTTTTACTCTCAAGTAGTCATTTCCAGCATTAGCATCCCGTGAACTACATGAACACAATTTTTCAGGGCCCCTGTCAGAATCTAGGGTGGGGCTTGAAATAAGGAAAACATTTGATCCCACCTGAGGACGGCTATAAGGAAATATTGACGGTATCTCTCAGCCTTAGATAGTTGATGTAATTCGGTGAAAAATCACTAAGTCGTTATTAACTGTTATTTGCACATATTTTGAAGACTTACCATGAAAAAGAATGGGTTTTGTCCAGTCCAGAAATTCCGACCTACGCAAAAGTTCCTCAGCATGTACAGGATTTGGCGAGTAGACACTGGTATGGCGGGTGTCGTTGAAGAAATTTGCACACTGTAAGACAGAAGTTCTCATTAAAGGAAGCTTCCGGTCAGCAGTGGCAGGAGTTTTAAGGAAAGACAGAATACGAAATCAGACGAATGCTAGGAATAAAGCAAGTCTTACAGGTCATCAAAGAACAACAAATGAAGGGGTTTGTACACCTGACAAGAATGCCCTGGAACTATCTGCCACAGCGAGCCACACTAAAACGTTACAGAGGGTAGAGAGCGAGCGGAAGACCTCGAAATAATAGAGTGATGGCATTAAGAATAGTCTTACAGAAATGAACATCAGTCTTAATAGAGCTCTTGATAGTGCTCATAAACGAATGTTACATCTCCCCCTTGACACTTCGATGAGGTACAAGGTGGAGGAGTAGGAGGAGAAGAAGAAGAAGAAGAATGGCAGGGGACATTTGTAGGCATTTGTAACCGCTTCATTTTCACGTTGGGGGTGGAAGCGGGGGGCAGACGGTCTCACCTTTATAATATTGTATAAGCCAGGTAGACGCAGCGCATCAGTAGAAGACAACAGTCTAACAGAAACGCTCACTAAACTCAGAACTGCCAGGCTGAAAAGCGTAGATAGACCTGAAAGGTGTCACAGCCGAACCTAAAAACTACGGCATCACACAACTCCGTTTTTTACCTCCAGTGTTCGAAAATGAGAATGATGATGTCCGTAATATCTCGCCGGCCGCCTTTACTTTCAAGGATTTTCCTTACCCGATACCTATTTAAGGCTGGGTCTACCTGAGGGCCAAATATTGTTTAATGTCTTATTCTCTTCGTGTTTGAACGCACGACCTTCGAATCCACAGGTAAGCGTCTAACCGTTACACCACTGCGGTTGCCAGTGATGACTTAAACAGATTACCAGTTTCGTTGAAGCTTCTCATGCTTCATTCTCCAATGTTCACAACTTTGGTAGTAAAAACAAATACAACAAACAATATGTGCCACGGAAAAATGAGCGTACAATGTAAGAGAACATTTCTAGAAGATTTTTTTCTTTAACTTGATCACTGAAAGTTTTTGGTCTTGCAATAATTCAGCAATAAAATCTTAGAAATTCGAGGGTTACCTGACTTTTGGAAGCATCAACAGGACCCTCGCCAACGGCCAAAATGTCCGGCCATCCTAAAGTGTAAAAGTCGGGTCCCTGCCAACGTCCACTGAGTATCTCATTTATTGTACCGTGAATCTGTATGGAAGTATATGTAACAGTCTGTATGTGTATACAGACAGACAGGCAAACAGACAGACAGACAAACCAATAGATAGATTAGATAGATAGATAGATAGATAGATAGATAGATAGATAGATAGATAGATAGTAGATAGATAGATAGATAGATAGATAGATAGATAGATAGATAGATAGATAGATAGATAGATATAGATAGATAGATAGATAGATAGATAGATAGATAGATAGATAGAGATAGATAGATAGATAGATAGATAGATAGATAAGATAGATAGATAGATAGATAGACAGACAGACAGACAGACAGACAGACAGACAGACAGACAGACAGACAGACAGATAGACATAGATAGATAGATAGATAGATAGATAGATAGATAGATAGATAGATAGATAGATAGATAGATAGATAGATAGATAGATAGATAGATAGATAGATAGATAGATAGATAGATAGATCGATAGATCGATAGATAGATAGATAGATAGATAGATTAGATTAGATTAGATACATAGATAGATAAATGTTTAATATTCAGCTAAACAACTGGCATCACAGCAGTCGGGACATTCACGTAAGCGCTCCGATTTAACCTTCAGCAGCCAGTCTAACATTCATCTATTCGATATCCTCTTATCTGGCTATTGACATATAAGGCACACACAGATGAGTTTTACTGTTGCTTTTCTGCTCATCCTATCCCGTGTCTGTTTTGCATTCTAGTTTTGACAGAAAGCCTCCCCGAAGAAAGAACTTTGGATTAAAACCTAATCTGTGTTTATGTGCGCCAGATAAAATTGCTCAGTATTGGTCGACACTAAGTTGCTCTGAATAAAGGATTACCGGCAACAAAGTCGTCTACCGGTAAGTCACTGGGCGACGCGGTTACCGATCTTGCATACCTTACTCTAGTGTCTGTTTTTAGTACGCGTCTGCCGCTTAGGGGTTGCGAACGTGCTTCGTACTGCCTGGGTTTCTGGTTCGATCGGAAGTCGCTGTGATGAAGCGGCCAAATCTGGGGATTGGAAAGTCATAGGGTCGGTTCTTGATAGGACCAGCATTTTTTCAAAAAGTGACCCTGGCTCTCAGGTTGACCCAGCCTTGATTGGGTCCCAGGTGCAGTCCTGGAAAGTAAAGGCAGCCGGCGTGATGCTGACCACATCACCCCCAAATGCTGAATGGTCTATTAAATATAGGTCTAGCCCTATATTCCCAAAATTCACGCATACATATACGCACACACTCGCACACACAAAATCAATCATACTTCAACTTTTAAACTACGATGAGTATAAATATTACACACATCTCTCAATCTATGCTTATTATTAACTAGACCAGTGATTCTCTTCACCGTGGCGCCGCGAAATATTATAAAAGCTTCATAATTAATTTAACCAAGACAAAAATAGTTATACTTTTACTTAGGTTAGGGCGCCGTGGAAAATGTTTAATTCAAAATAGGCGCTGCGACCAAGAAAAATTTGGGAAACACTGAACTAGACAGATCATTCTGGCCCATATCAAAGCAAAGCACAAGATACTGGACAGTTAAGCACACTAGATTTTATAGAATCAAACATGTCTCAAAATGATTTGGCAGTCGAAACATTCATTTAAGAATAGCTTATGTGTCAACAACGACTTGAAGGGGATTTCTAACCAATAGATATAAGACTGTGTATGTGTATATACTTATACACACACATTTATATGTATACTTATTCAAGGAAACAAGCTCTCGATTACACATATTTGTTCCGAACAGACAAGGAGATATAGAACGACACTTTATCTCATATGCGGTATTCTAGAATATGCGACAACATACCCATCCACACTCCAACGACAATGGGAAGGATAGAGGACTTTGGGGGCAGTGAATTAACATCACTCGCCAGAATGGCAGACTTGGGAATTAAGATCGGCAAAGCCAAAAACGAGACGCACACCAGACACACCAGAAGACTTGTTAATCAACATAAAACTGGGACCATAAGCAATCGGACGTTGGGGTTCATACTGAGGGGAGAATCTGAGCACCTATGGACATAACTAATTAACTAACTAAGTAACCAACTAATTCCAACGACAGTGTGTGCTATGCAGATAGTTTTACATTTATTAGAACTTCAGCAAACGAGAAAAAGAATAAATTAATTTAGCAAAATCTGTTTATGCTGTGAATATGCCCACCCTCTCTCTCTCTCTCTCTCTCTCTCTCTCTCTCTCTCTCTCTCTCTCTCTCTCTCTCTCTCTCTCTCTCTCTCTCTCTCTCTCTCTCACTCACTCACTCACTCACAGCGCAGATTTTCTTTCATTCTATAGGTCTATATACACAAGGTATATTTATTTTAGGCAACAGTATATTCAATTCAGTTAACTAGTTGAACTATCACCTTCAAGCTGAAAAACTCTTCTTTCTTCTTCTTCGCGTTCACCAGCTGCAAACTGGGGCGGAGATTTCTGATTGTCCATCCACTTCTGAACTCCAGTCCTGTTCCAGAACCTGAGTGTTGCGTGTACATCCGTTTCACAGGCCTGATTCATTTGCATGCAGACTGTTGGTTCTCTGTCCCTTAGGCAGAAGCACTCCGACTTTAAAGGAAGCTCTTAAATAGTCGACTTTTACGACACGCTTTTGGAGGGCAGTGGGTCTATTCTTGTTTTCCCCCACATTTGGTCCCCGGAACCCATACGGGGATACTAAGAAACAAAACAGGCAATTTGCTGCAATGTTTAATAGGCACACACAAACTGCCACAAAGAACAAACCTTGCATGTGCCAGGGAAATACTGAGCCACCCATTCAAGTAAAACAGGCAGTTCTTCAGTAGTCACTTTATGCAATGGCTGCATTGTGGGTTCTGTTATTGCATGCAGAAAGTATACAGAATCACTTACATCTGGATCATATAAGAATGTAACTCAGACGTTGTCTCGTCTGTACAATATAAATTTAGCTTCACGTGTTTATGATTTCATTATCGCACGATTCTTGTTATTCATCTTGTTGGTCTTGTTCATGTTTTTGTTGTTGTTTTTTATTGCTTTTCTTCTTCTTCTTCTTCTTCTTCTTCTTCTTCTTCTTCTTCTTCTTCTTCTTCTTCTTCTTCTTTTCTTCTTCTTCTTCTTCTTCTTCTTCTTCTTCTTCTTCTTCTTCTTCTACTTCTTCAGTTCTGCTTCTTCTTTTTCTTCTTCATCTTCTTCTTCTTCTTCTTCTTCTTCTTCTTCTTCTAGCCTTCAGGCAGTATCTTCTTCTTCTTTTCTTCTTCTTTTAATTCCTTCTTCTTCTTCTTCTTCTTTTTCTTCTTCTTCTTCTTCGTCTTCTTCTTTTTCTTCTTCTTCTTCTTCTTCTTTCATTACTTATTCTTCTTCTTCTTCTTCTTCTTGTTCTTCAAAATATTCTTCTTCTAAATCTTCTTCTTCTTATAATTTTTTTCTAAAGTTCTTCTATTTTTTCTTGTAATTCAGTGAGCTTCTTATTCTTCTTCTTTTCTTCTTCTTCTTCTTCCAAAAAAGCTTCTTCTTCTGAGAAAACAGAGCTTCGTTTCTTCTTCTTCGAAATCTTCTTCTTCTTTGTTCAATCAAGAATATAAGTGTACTGTGCCAGTTAACAATAATTTTTTCGCCTATCGGGAAAACATCAAATTCTTTAGGCATTCTTGCCCAGGCTAGCCTTCCAGGCAGTATGAATCATTTATTGTCTGTTTAGTGTAATACAAATATAAATGTGAATATATACAACGTCAAGGGTGATTACGTTTGTATAATATAATATAGCATTAGACATCAAAAATTCATTACTGTATGAATCAATTATTGCTCCTTTTGTGTACTGCAAATATAGTTTGTATCGTAAATAAGATTTCATTATAATTTGTTTCAGATAAAGTTGCTGTATCATATGTATGTAATACAGTGAGCTGATATTTATACCTTTAAAAAAAACTGAAACATGTATTCCAAAACAGATAGCAATGATGAGAAACAGCGCATCGTTTAAAACTGCGAAACACAAGATGAACATGGTTAGGACTGTGTGGGAGAGCGTTTACAATTCGGAGAAGCAAATAGATCACCACAGTGTGGTGAGGCTGATGCAGCTGGGAGTGACTACGAGCTTGGTCGATGCTCGACGCTCGGAGGTAAGGCAAGAGGGATTCTACTTGCACCATTGGTACTGGAACTCTGCGCTGGTTGCTGAAAGTGGGGACGGAGTGCTTATGGTAAGTCCCTGAGTGCTGTGGGGACGGGGTGCTTATGGTAAGTCCCTGAGTGCTGTGGGGACGGAGTGCTTATGGTAAGTCCCTGAGTGCTGTGGGGACGGAGTGCTTATGGTAAGTTCCTGAGTGCTGTGATGTCGGTTCTTGAATCAGCTCAACGCAACTCAGCGAAGGTTGTGTTTCGCCATCTCACACGATCAACAGAATCACGAATCAGTTCAATGTTTTTGTCTCGCCCCATCTCTCCAGGCTATCCGGGTAAAAAGCTGCTGTCTTTCCACAAATTTTTCCCAGTGGTTACCAAGTACCTTAGTCCCTTTCTTCTCATAACTTGTCCAAAAAATATTGACTGTCTACATCTAATGCTTCTAGAAAGTGTTCGACTTTCATCTGGCTCAATGAGGACTGCTTCATTTGCTTTTTCTATCCTCCAGTGACAAACTACTTAACTTAGAACTATCTGATGAAGCCATAAACGGTCAATAAATGCAAGGCCTGGCTTGCAACATCCTCTAAAGCAGTGCTTTTCAATCTGTGGACGCAAGGAAGTTTCGAATGGGTATCAAGATATTTATAAATTGAGTGCATTGATACTTGTAAGAATCTGTTGTGTTAAGATTATTCTTCAGTATTCCTTTGTGCCTTGTCCAACATCAGGCCAAAATTAGCGGTTACCCACTTTCATATAATCTAGTTTTGTCCTCTTTAGGGCAAACATTTTTGTTATTTGAAGCCCCACCCTGGCTTTTGCCAGGGGCCGCAATATAGGCAGGCCATAAATATGGCCAATTGCCTGAACGCGGTTTCTAGGACCTCTCCACGGCGATCCTCATCCACGTGGTGGCACTTTGTGTCATCGGGTGTTTATCGCTTGTGTGATGTCCTGGTGGGGTAGAAAGTCAGTCAGACCGTCAATTAGCGGATATCATCAAGACAAAACAGTGTCAACCATCAACTATCACATTGATATTTTGACACTAAATTGCCAGTTGTTATTTATTGTTTCTGTTGTGCTATTTGAAACTTATGTGGGTGGTTTTCTCCACGTTCGTATTATCATTAATTGCCATTTTCATTTTGTCCCATTTTTAAAATCTTTTTTTTGTGTTTGTGTGGGAAGGGGGGGGGGGGGGGGGGGGGGGGGGGTTGTTATATATTCAAGGGACGCCACCTGAAAAAGGGATGTAAACCCACTGCTCTAAAGGATGCACAAGTAACTAGATTTAATATGTATCAAATATTTCTTTATCACGTGATTCAGTTATTGTTCCATGTATCCATATAGGAGTTCATTATAATGCGAAGTGTGTTTTAGTGATTCGTCAAGCCTGCTAGGGCTATGTAATGTCATTATTTTTGCCTTCTCTCAGGTAGTCTCTAAAATTTGTCTGCCTCAGTATGACTTGCAACACAAAATGTGTGTGTCTCTTTTATGTCTTTCTGATTTTCTCTAATTCTGAGATCTGTGGCTCTACCTCTGCGATTAATTGAATTGTATCATTAGCTGTGCTACCGCTGGCAGGGACGCCGGAGAAATTGGAGGACTCAGGTATCTTGAGCCAACGACCCCCTCTCCTTTTTTCAAACAATCTCCCTTTCCCGGGCAGTCTGCAAGTGGACTGATTCCTTTCCCCCCCCCCCCCCCCCCCCCCCCCCCCCCCCCTCCCCCCACCCAACAATAGAAAACGCTTTTTTTCAAGATACTGTTGGCATAGTATATTTCATATTTTTTTATTTATTTGCCACTTGGCATATTATTAAAAGTATCATTATTATTATTATGCGCTTAAACCAAGCTTAGGCTTTCTTGACTCACCATTCCACAGATATATGTACGAGCACAGAGGCCCCGCCCAGTTTTTTCAGTAAGTGTTGTAAAGCTGTGGACATGGGAACATGGCGTAGGAAAGGCCAAATATGCCTTAGCTTTACCTTCAAATAAAGGACCCTTATTTATGAGTTGGGTGCATCACAATTGTATACATGGCTCATTAATATTTGTCTAGACCCACCAGAACTGAATGGCTGATTTATCAAACATTATGCCTGTCGCTATACTTCCCTAGAAACTTCCATGGTATCCTGGTTGTTGTTGCTTTTGTTGCTGTTGCAGTTTACCTTTTCTAAAGTTGCAGTTGCAGGAGTGACGTAGTACAATGGCTCTCTTAACCTTGCCAATGCCGCGACCTTTAATACAGTTACTCATGTTGTGTTGACCCCCAGCCATACAATTATTTTCGTTGCTACTTTATAACTTCAGTATGTGTTTTCCGATGGTTTTAGGCGACCATACGTGAAAGGGTCGTTCGACCCACAAAAGGGTTGCGACCCACAGGTTGAGAATCGCTGCCGTAACACCTCAAGGAAGAGAATTCTACATGTACACATTTTGGTAGGCGCCGTTCAACCATAAGGTTACAGTGGGGCCTCGGACGGTCCCCAAGTAAACTGAAGTAGGGACCAGTGGGCGACTGTTCCTTGCCTGGCACCTATTTTAGACCTTGTCGACCAGGAAAGTTAGAGATCCCTTTCCACACCTTTAGGCTATGGGCATATAGGGCTAGACCTATATTTTATAGATCAACCACACTCGATGGGTGATGTGGTCAACATCACATCGAAGACCTTTACTTCCCAGGATTTTACTTGGTTCATATACATTTAAGGTTGGGTTGACTTGGCAGCCAAGGTCATTTCTGAATAAAATCCAGACCCATTCGGATTTAAACCTATGACCTTTGGATCGGTAGGCGAGCATCTAGCTGCTACACAGCGGCAGCTCCCCAGCGGTGACTAGGCAGCTACTGTTATACAGTTTACACAAACTTTTAATCAAAAGGTTGATTACGCTTTGAAATTAAAAAAAAAACTGTTTAAACAGCAAGATAACCAAAATCTCACCGAACAGCTGCCGACACAACAATCAAAGTTCCTCTGCTATTCGACGGTTGCGTCAGAAGTACATGTATAAGTGCGCGTACCTAAACGTTTGATAGGGGATTCTGAAAATTTTAATGTACAGAGAACTTTCTGTTTGCTGGAGGATTCTCTATACAGAGAACTTGCCTCCTCCTGGATGGGGAGGAACTAAGCCCCTTCTACCTCTCCCGAAAAATTTTAGAGGATGAACACCCCCCCCCCTCCCCCACCCCTCGTTGATACTGGAGTTCAGTCCACTTTTCACCCACTTCCTAGCCCAACAATTGTGTTTAAATGTCAGAGGGTGGACTAAAATGTGCCTGGGTTTAACCCATGTGGCTTTATCTCACCCGTTGAACGCTAGTGGCCGGCAAGAACCTGTTAGTCTTTTATATTTTCCAGATGACCTTTAGTAAAATAAAGTAAACTAAGTAAAAGACTCTGTTCAGGTGTTGTTGACCACTCGTGCATCTGGTAGTAGACTCGCTGTTTTTAAAAATGCATCCAATGAACTCTGACCAAAAGACCTTAACGAAATTGGAAAGGAAAACTTGTTTGTTTTTCGTTAAGCTTTTTAGTTACAGTTCATTGGATTCATTTATTTGTAATAGCTGGACTACACTCACCCTTATTTTCACTACTTTCTGGAGTGTCACGTTTTTGGAGCACAGTTGGGACTTGATAGAGGATGTTGTTGTTGATACCACACCGCCCCCTTTACTTTACAGAACATTTCCCTGGTAATCATTTTAGGCTGGGTAGATCTAGGAGCCCATTTCATTTCATTATCGGAACACAAGACCTTCGGCTGGAAGACTAACGTCTGGCCACTGAACCACTGCAGCCTCCCCTCGTGAATTACAAGCATATACTACTCTCTTCCCCCTTCCCCTTTGTTGTACCTCACCTTTACATCAGACAAGTGATAAACACCCGGTGACACAAAGTGCCACCATGCGGATGAGGATCCCAGTGGAGAGGTCCCAGAAACCCCTTTCAGACGTTAGGCCATATTCAGGTCCACTCCTTCCCTACTCCGGGCAAAAGCCACGTTGAGGCTTCAAATAACGGAAAATTGCATCCCACATGGGGACGACTATACACATACTACTCATGGGGACGACTATACACATACTACTCATGGGGACCAAAATACACATACTACTCAAAACAAAACTTAAAACGCAAAGCTACTGAAAGGAACATAATTTTGTTATAATTTTGACATTCAAAATCTTTGCAATTTACTGAATGAAATTTAAAGGATAACTTAGGGTTCAAACCAAATGACAGCGCTTTTGTATCTGACAGTGTATAAATTGACTTTGACTCCCAGACAGTCTAACCTAAAATAAGTACATAGTAATGTCCTGTTAGGCGGCACTTCGCGGGTTGATGGCATCGCCCATTGTATTTGTCTGTTTAAAAAAACAATTATTTGTCTAGCATTGTGTTCCTGATGCGCCGATGGCGGGAACAAGGCCCCTTTTCTTTACTATTTTTTAAACATATAATTTGAGAGCCCCTGATTAGTAACAGAGACGAAATGTCGCACGTCCATGTTTCATAATTCATTCCCAGAGTAAAGGTCATGCGTACACTTTTTCGGGGAGATAACAAGAAAGAAAATATTATTTTTGAACTTTGAATCTAAACAGGGTAAGTGTGTCTTCCTTCAGTAAGTAAATTAAATAGTAAGTAATCTCTTATCACGCCTTTAGGCGCATCGGGCATTTGGGAAGAGCATCCCATATTTTTACAGACCAATCGGCACTAGGTGGGTAATGTGGTCAGCATCGTGCCAGCCGTCTTTACTTCCCCAGGGCAGCCCTCCTAGTATTTTTTCAGGCTGGGTCGACCTGCGACGCCCCATACCATGATAAAAATCCACGCAGCTAGCAGTGGGTTTTGATCAGAGTATATTGGAACTACGAGTAGGACTCGCCACGCCTAAGCCCTCACCGGGGTTTGAACCCGGGAGCTCTACCACTCGAGGCGACACCATGCTTTGAGACCACGCCCTTCCTTTCGTAAGATGGTAATTATTCACATATTTGAACTGTCATTAGTTTTTTTAATATGCAAAGATGTTTCCTCAGGCTTGGAAATGAAATGAAGTATGTATTTGATGTGTGTATCAGTCCCATATTTTTACACCACTAAGTATGCGATCAATGATGTCAATATCGTCCTTCTCGCTGACATGTCCCGGAATATGTTATCTTACCAGTTCTAGACTTTCTCTACAAAGAATTATTGCCTGAAAGGGAATAACTTAAAATGGCCGAAACAGCAGACGACAGCTGAAAATCTGGTTATAGCAGTTCCAGTTTCAAGGTAAACAGGACATACCACAGTTATCTGTTCCTGTACCAAAGAAACCACACAAAATGTCCATAACTGCCTTTTGCTAATAATATGGACACATACTGCAGTCTCATTAAAGCCAACAGCATACACACGCATTAAATGCAAAACGCATCCTTCAGAAGTGCCAACACAAACAGTCTGGCATTTTAAATACAGTTCATTGTCGGTGGAACAAGCAGTTTACAAAGTCGCACACACAATTAATCGCGTAAGATGTCGCCAGTTTTTTTTTTTTTTGGCAAAAAGCCACTCGCCAGTTTCTGAATCTGCAGTTCACAACACAAATCAGAAAAAAAAAAAGAAATTAACTTTACACAAGTTCATATACAGAGGAATTGACTTGAATCCTCAATTGGACATATTATGCTGACAGATCTGTTTGGTGCGCACCAGAGTATGTGCTTGCAAGGAGCTTTGAATCGGAGAGTCCTAGCACTTATCAAAGTAAACTTAGAGAGTTTGTGTGTGAGTGTGTGTGTGTGGCCAGGGGGAAAGGACGAGGGAGGGGGGGGGGGGGGATTTATACGTTAGGGTCTTTAAACGCTCCTTATACCACAGTTCTGACGGAGCTCTATGTCTTAGTACAGTGGCTCTCAACCTGCCGGTAACCCTTTGGCAAATTTCCTTAAACAGAGTTAGCACCGCCATTTTACACACAAGGTCACTTTTGATTGATAGTTGCTGAGCCTCGTCACCTTTGCTCAAGGTTACGGAGGTGTTCCGCGATAACGTTGATATCGCGTGTTGTATATTTAACCACGCCAGCGCTTTAATCGCTCCAAAAAACATAAAGCACTGGCCCTAACTCCACCACCCTACGAGGGTGCTGCAACCTATGTCACAGGCATTCTCTTTCTCTGAATGAAAATGTAAATGGGAGACAACACTGAAAGAAAACATTAGAGCGGGACACACCCGTAACCTTTAGCAAAGTTGATCAGCCTCACAAACTATGAATGAAAAGTGACTTAATGCGTAAATGGGCGGGGCTAACTATGTTTATGTAGATTTTTGTAATACTCGACAACTTTCATACTGCCGCGACCCTTTCATGTTGTGACGACCTACTAACAATTATTCTCCTTCATAACTTCAATTAATATGTGTTTTCCAATGGTCTTAGGTGACCCACGTTCGCCCCCCCCCCCCCCCCCCACCCTTTCCCCAAATAAAAGTGGCGACCGGCAGGTTGAGAACAGCTGTGTTCGTGTAAAATTATATTGTTTGTTGACAGATAAAAGGGAAAAGACTCAACAATGCAACCATTACATAAAGTGACTCCAGAAGAACTGCCTGTTTTACTTGAGTGGGCTGCTCAACATTTGCCAGGCGCACAAAAGGTTTGTTTTGACTTAATCAAGAAGTCAATTTTTTTAAATGTTCAGGCAAGCGTACGTTTAGTATGTTTGTAGACAGATAACGTCTGAACTTTGTTCGGGGCATACATATAATATATTCCATTTGAGCAGAGAGACAGGATTGCAACAACAAAAAAGGAGGTATGGGTGGCTTTCTTTTATACTGTAGTCTGTGTTTATTTTAGTACATATTCGTGGCTAAAAACTTCTCGCCACCAAGCAGACCTGAAAAGGACTCATGCTGTGATGATGTGATGACTTCTGTCACCATCAGACCGGTAACCGATTAGCCCATTGGCGGACCAATAAGCCACCCCGTCGTCAATTAGACCTTTTGTTGCCTATACTCCTATTTATATTCTATATCAAGAGACCTCTTTGTTCATTGTTCATTTACAGATCATCTTCAACGCATATCGGACATGACCATAAGTGGTCCGATCTCCTCCTCAGTATGACTCCAAGTGTTTTTAGGCTAACAACTTCCATTCTATACTGGCCGATGTAATGACGGCTGGCTCCCGCATGGTTTTTTCCTCGCAGCTCCAGTTGGTACCGAGGGTAAAACCCATTGTCCACGAAACTGAAAGCCTCGCGGCTTCTAGTCTCTCGTATGGCATCAATGATGTCCACTTGTCCATAAGTGTTCATTCCTGATAGTTCCACTGCCAGCCCAGAGCATCTGCTCTCTCACTGCCTTTTACACCAGCACCCGGGGTAAAAAATGAAGGCGATTTTGCGAAACGCTGCCTGCTGTATCAGATGAAGCAACTGATTCAGCACGTTCCTGGTTCCTAGTTCCATAAACAAAAATTCCAAACTGCGGCGACGTTTAACCAGCTCCTATCTGAGCGTCGGTTATTAATTCAGCACGTATCCTGCCTTGAACTTTTGTAGCATGATAACTGAGTCGCTAAGCAAACACGCATTTGGGAATACCTGAGTTTTCAGCCATTCTAGGGTCTCTGTCACAGCCATGCCTTTATTACCATGCTGCTGGTGACAAAAGCAAAGGCTCCACTGTCTTCTTTGATGACTTACCTTTTAGTTTTTGCCGTAAAGCCCATGCACTTCTCTTCTGATGAATTACAGAACATTGTGTATACATAACAGCATCTTCCAGTGATGTGTGTTTCTCCACCAATGCTTTCACTTCTGCATTAACTACTGATGGTGCCAAATCACGCACTGTCTTGTTAGTGTGATAACCACCACAAAGTACTGCTTGATTCTTTTGGTAAAGGTATTCAGTCCTTTCCACGGTTTGTCTTAAAGGGAAATCACCCACTAAAGTACTGCCTCTGCCCGGCACGATCAAGACTAGCCTTATTTACGTCTGTTGTCTTTACGTGTAGTTAGTTCGTCGTGCACGTGTTAGTATGTAAAGGCCTCTGTGGTTCTCAGATTAGACCCGAAGCTCCTTTTATTTTCGATGGTCTGTCGAGGATCTCCTACTCTTTAACAGCCATATTTATATTTTGTTTAGTGTAAATGTATATTATTTACGAAGAAAAAGAGACGGTTGCGGGTCTTCTTTTTCTTCTTTTTCTTTTACTTCTTTCATTCACGAACAACTTATGCTTGTTTAACATTTATTTGCGAATCACCATTTGGGAACTACGGCTCTAAATACTTTATCAAATGTATGTTTATTCGTGTATCTTTTAAAAATATAAATGCAGATTTATGGTACAGTCAAAGAAGAACTCAATGGACGTTGGCAGGGACCTACCTATTACACTCTA